TGGCAATAGGATATATATTATAGACAATATGACTAATTCTATATTGAACTTTGAGTGTTAAATTTAGACGTTAAAATTGAAAATTTTCAACTATCAACAATTGAGGCTTAAAAAATTAAAATATTGCAAAAAAATACTTTTGAAATGCCTTAATATATAATATATTATGTATTAAAAGCAATAGAGTACTCATTTGATTCATCAGACTTATCATAATTATTAAAAAGTCAAATTTATATGAGCCTGTGGCTAAAAATGGAGGTTTTCCAATGAAGGGGGGCCTTACATGAAGATGTAATATTTTCCAGCAATTTTAAATTTGTAAAGCTTTTTGGTTATAAATAATCCTTACATATGTATTTAATGTACTTTAAATGGAAAGAAAACTTACAAATAACATATCACATTAGCTTAAAAGGGTCTTAGGCCAAGTAAGACTGAAAATAATTTAGGGTCAATTTAGGCCGTATCACATATTTACATTTAAAAATGCATATTGAAGCTATATGAAATAAAATTTTGTGTCTTTTCTATCATTTCTATACTCAGGTGACATGATACAATAAATCTGAGCACAAAAAGACTCTTGCATTCAACTTTTTTTGCAGACAGTATGGTCTGATACAAAGATTTTTCACTTTTTAGTGAAAAACATGCATGCAATTTTAGTCTCAACAGGCTTATATTTGAACCACTTGCTATCCTACAGAAGAAAAGAAAGGTATTATGTGACATTAAACAGGTACAAAAGACATTGTTAAGTGCTTTTTATACAAATTTAGTGAGGTCTTTATAATGGACTTCAACTTTTATGTTCCAAGCTCCTCACATTTAACTTGATCCAAACAGGGCGTTAGACGAGGATCATATATACAACACATTTTGCGCATATTGTCTGAGATAATCTTCTTTTCTGTAGATTCAGAGTTCACAAATGAGTAATACAACTGGATTGAAACATAGAAACACAAATATTGACACATAAAAACCTGTCAGATAGAAAGTCAGAATGCCACTAATGCATCAAAATTGAAAAAGCTATGAAATGCTTATTTTGATCATAAAATGCCAAAATTGGTAATTTTTGCAGAAATTCTATCAAATAAAAGTTTAAATCCTTTAGTTTTATGCTATTTGATAAATTGACACCATCAAATCATTCAGGGAAGTTGCCAAAGTACAGATTCTATATTTCCTGATTTCACCTCTTAGGTCCGAGTACACAGTTATTTCGTAGTGCATTTCTTTTAGACAATAAATGGAAATTAAAAAAATCCCACCTGCGCTTTCTCAATAATATTTTTACAGTGTGTTGTACTACTTTTGGGACAAATTATATCAAAATTATAGAAAACTTCATCGGCTCTAACTCAAAATATGGACAATTTCATGCTAAGGGGGTCTTCAAATCTTTTGACAGCTTCCGATGTGCTAATTTTTAACATTTTTCAGCTGGACCAAATCACTACTTCACTTTAAAATTCATGACCCAAATTTTTTTACAGTGTCATTTCACCCCCCTACTTACTATTTGAGTCATAAAACATGGAGAAATAAATTCGGAAGGGGTATAAAAAAAATCGACAAGTAACACACTGTCCACACTAGGGACTATATTCGTGGACAACGAAAATCAAAGGACGATAACTGTGTACCCGGACCTTCTTGCGAATGTGATGAATACCCAACGGTTTTAGTATAAATTGAAGGAGGTCATTAATTCAGACATCATGGAGAGTAGGTGATGTATAATGATGATGACCGTGACTTTTGGTACGTCAAGGAGGAGAGTTTAAAATATTTATCATATTCACCGAACTGCAGGAAATCCAGTAGTCTTCCTTTTGTCTAGAAAGAGGTGTTGCAAGAGGGGAATTGTTGATAATATGGTATATATTTTGGATGGTGCGAATTTGCATAGAACGGATTGAACGATCGAGCTTATTAAACTTCTATTAAACAAAGTTGAATCTTATTGATATCGGATCTGTCGTGCATACGTCTATTAAGTCTTCCTCTCATTTCACCAACATTTATCAGTCCTCAAAAGTAACACTCTAATTTGTAGACGAAATTTATAGATTTACAATGCAGAACATCGAGGTTCTTGAAAAGTAAGACTGTTTAGTTATATTGCTAGTAAGTTAAACATCTGTATTTGGTTCCAATCGCTTTAATTTTTGAATGTTTTGGATAGTGCATTATTCTATTTAACTTTTTTTCTTATTATGCAATGAAAATCAAACGTGATTTACAAAAAAAAAAAAATATATATATGAAAGAGAAAATATAAACACCTTATATTCCTTCGTTGAATATGATCATAATATTTATGTACGGTAGGCGTCTACATTTTCGAGCATAAAAAGGGGGATAATTGTTATAGCAATAGAATAAGAAGTCCCGTTAATATTTAAAGTGTCGCGTTTACGACAGAAGTTATCGACAGGGGCAGAAACTATCTATCGAGTGAAACGTGTTTTATATAGGAAGATATAGATATAGATTCTGTATGCAGGCGATGCTAGAATGTTGCAACATACAAATGGAAAGTTCATAACTGGGGAGCTGAAATAATTTCGTTTGTCGTATTTTTTTTTGTTTCCAACTAACCTTCATTGTCAATTGTGTTAGATGTAATCCAAGATATGAGGCAGAATTAACTGTATTTGTTGTATCCTTTATCGAAAATTCGAAGGGATGGACGCGTTTGACAAAGTACCCAATTTTAAAAATTATTTAGTGAGATAACATCATCTTTATAGAGGAAAGGAAAGTTAAATGATACTGCTAACTTCCTTTTTCTTTCGTCCTAAGAAGTTTCTGTTTGAAGTAAGCCTTACATGCAGAAAAGAAAACGTCGACAAGAAGAGGGCATCGTAGATTCCCATGGGAAAGCAGCAATAATTTCAAATATACTCTGCCATTATATTTATTGGTAGATCTTGGCTTGCTTATTACTTTTTGCATTTTAGATTTTACATTTATCTATTAAAGATTTTAAGTTATTATGCAAATCGCAAAAAAAACCAAACTAATGGTGAAAATCGTCATCGATAAACCTTTTCTAAAGGGTTACCAATTACATTGTATCACTGTAATTAGATCTTTAATTAGATATAAGAAGATGTGGTATGAGTGCCAATGAGACAACTCTCCATCCAACTCAAAATTTATAAAAGTAAACCATTATAAGTCAAAGTACGGTCTTCAACACGGAGCCTTGGCTCACACCGAACAGCAAGCTATAAAGGGCCCCAAAATTTACTAGTGTAATACCATTCAAACGAGAAAACCAACGGTCTAATCTATATAAAGAAAAAACGAGAAACGAGGAACACTTATGAACCACATCAACAAACGACAACTACTGAACATCAGATTCCTGACTTAGGACAGGTGCAAACAAATGCAACGGGGTTAAACGTTTTAATGGTACCAAACCTTCACCCTTATCTGAAACAATAGTGTAACATCACAACATAGAAAAACACACTATAAGATATCAATTGAAATGGCTTAACTCAATCAAAAGACATATTAACACCAGTGAACATACAGTACTTGCAACCTTAGGCATTACTGTTTGACGTGAACTTTACTGATCGGTGAATGATCGGTGACGGATGTTTGACTGATCGATGACTGATCGGTGATCGATGACCCATAAAATCCGTCAGATACGTCAAATAAGCTATGTGAGAGTTACCTTGACAACGGTCAGCGACCGATCAGTAAAGTAATTATATCCGCGGATCGGACAGATACCCAGACAACATGAGTATGTTGGCCCAACATTGGCACAACGTTTATCATTGGATTGGCCCATCGTTGTATTTTAACGTTGGCCCAACGTATAAGTGCAAAGTGGGCCTACGTTGGCCCAACATGATGGCTTCATGTTGGGCAACGTTGTACGGTTATATGCAATACATAGAGCCAACGTTGGCCCATTGTATGAAAAACAGAATCTGTATTTGTGTATTACCCATTGTTGTTACTGTCCTTGTTTTTTTTCATGAACTTTGCCTCTTTAATTTCATTTATTGTGTGACATTTCTTTGACAATGTTTGATGGATCGACCAAATAAACTCTGTGTCATTTAGTCACTTGTAAAGAGTTGTCTCATTAGCAATCATACCACATCTTTTTTTTTCATATCAATTTCTTTATTTCTGTAACAGCACAAATGACGTATGGCTTATGGTAAGTTGCTCATACAAATAATTTTTTATTAGATGTAATTTTAGTTGTATTGGTTCCAGATCCAGATTGAAAATTAAATAATTCTTTCAAGCACAACCATTATAAAATATATGAATTGAGGGAAAACACTGATGTCGATATAGGGCCTTGTAAAGCTTGCTATATGCAATGTGGGTTTTTTCATTGTTGAAGGCCATACGGTTATCGATAGTTGATAGTGTCATTTGGTCTCCTTTAGGTAGTAGTCTCATTCTCAATCAAACTAATCTTTTTTATTTTCATGATTTTTTATTTTCATGAAATTTCATGCATGTTCAGGACGATAAGTGGTTTGAAATACAGAAAATATTCATTCTAAGCATAAGTATTGGTTACTTTATAAATGATAATCGGTGTTAAATTGAACGTGAATAATTTTGTTTTCAGAACTTAGTTGACAATACTTATTCATGACCAAAAGAAGAGGCTAAAACTTGTTAACTATTCAGATTCAAAAATACCCATTGGAAGTTATCTAATATTTCGAATAAAAAAACTTTTCTGAAAAATAACACTGTTATTCCCCTGGAAAACGAAAAGGTGCCTTAAGAATCGTCCATGCATAGTCAGGATAGATTTGGTTCAAATGTACAAATAAATAAAAGAAGAAGATTTTGTGATTAAATATCTAAGATGATGTATGCATGGATTAACAAGAGCTGATGTGGCCTATAAAGCCGGGGGAGGAGAAAAAAAATCATAACATTTCAAAATTTCTGCATAAATGTCGGAAATTGAAAAGAGAGTTACTGACCAAGCGGTTCTTTGTAGTGTCGACCTTCAAGGCATTTTCAACTCCTTCTAGCTGCAACATCGTTTTGATTGGAAGCACTGTGAGTTCATTATCGTAATTATCCTCTGCATCCACTGTTTGTTGCACATCAACTTTCTTTACTATTTGGAGGAGAAGAGACGTATTGTAATGAACCTGGGTTTTGATTTGCTCTAAGCTCTTTAGGGTTTTGATTGCAAATTCTGAAAATGAAATAAAAATAAACAAACATGAATTGACATCACTTTGTAAAAGAAAAAAATGAAAATATCAAATATTCATTAAACTAGAGAGCGAGGGGAAAGTAGTCATTTAACCCGGCCAATAGAATGTTCTCCGTTTACAACTTTATTTCTAGAAAATCCATAGCTACATGTACTTGGGGACAGGACAAATTGTTTTTAGTCCTCTCTCTTTTTGTCCCGAAATCCGTATTTTTTTCTGTCATTTTCAATTATTTATGCGTATTTATATTATATGAACATGAAAATACTAGAAATAACTTGTATTTGCTATTTACTATCCACAACAGTCACTGATGTGTTATGTTATATAACATATCAGTGACTACTGTGGATAGTAAACTTGGAATTCATCATGTTGATAGTAAATGCAAATAATTATTTCTAGTATATTTATGTTCATGTAATATGTATAGATAAAAGGCGTAAATAATTGACACTAAAAGGGGGGCTTAAAAAAACCATTCGGTCCTCTTGTACCTTGGTTATGTGGTTTTCTCTTGAACAGACATACACGCAGATCGATATTTATTCCCAGCCTTCTAAATGGTGTATTTACAAAATGAGTGGTTAACCATTATATTTGAGAGGAAAACATAATATATTCGATTATGATATGAATGATTTTAAGCCAAAATATATTATTTACCTGAAGTCTTTGATTGTATATTCATGATATTTGCGACGGTTGAAATCAAATCACGAGATGTTGATGGTCTATCTATTTGATTCTGTGGCGGCGTTGGACAGAATGATCTTTCAGGCGTGGTGTTGGTAGTGGTGTTAATTCACAGTCATGGAGTCGTTTTTTTTAGATTGCAACTTGCCGGGAGACTTCCTTGATGATCTCCTTGGTAATTGTGACTGAGTGACCGATGATCCTGTATGATTGCAAATGATACAACTATCCACTAAAGTTCAAATGAAGTGGATGTAAGCCGTTATATGCAACTGTACGGCAATTCTACTCAAATTAAACTTTTGTAAAGGTTAGGACCGCACCCATCTGTTATTATCGTGTTTAGCTTAATAGAGTGTCACTAAAAAAAAGTGAAATAATAATATTTTTTTGTCTATTTTTGATGGATAGTTCTGTTTGTTCTCTGACAACTGATGCGTTTAATTGCACTTTGGTATATTTCTGCTATGCACTTGTTATTGTTCGTGTACTTATACATGTTATAACTCATTAGTTTTTTAACATTTGGCTCTGAGCGTCTTGAAGTTGACGCCGATAGAACGGACAGGCGCATACAATTTACAAAGTGATATTTGATTTTTGTTTATCTTCGATTTTCAGTTATAAAGGTTTCGATTGAAAAGGTCATGAATCATGTATTCAATTAGAAAAACTTTATAATTAGGCTGCACGATATTTATTCCCTTTCAATCAGTAGACCGGTAACTAATATAATGCAGTATTCTCTATACTACAGACGACAGACACACAAATGACACCCTTTTCTGCCACTGACAGCACACCAACAACAACTTTTTGTACGCATGGCAGAAAAATAAAACTCAAACGCACATTCAAATTTGCCGACAGCCCGTCGTACGTGATGGACGCCAGATATAATTGTATATAATATATAATCGTGACATATCATCAAATAAAACATATAAATCAGTAATCAATTGGCATTTTCATTCACCAATCATATCATTATGTACAAAACACAGCAAAATATCAAAATATTGGCAGCTGTACGTTAAATAAATTACCCCTCATTGATAGCCAAGGCCGACCAGGAAAAATCGTATTACGGAAACCTGTATCCGAATCAATGCTCGAGCCTATCTCAGGATAATGACGTCGGACCTCGTCGGTTCAAACAGTTAACGAAAAGCAAAAATATTAGTCTAACAATAGATATATAAACATCATTTAAAATAATGGAGTTTACTCGGTCAATACGACGGCTAGAAGTGAAGTTACCACACAAAAAAAAACCTTATATATGACCACAATTCAGCCCCCTCATTGGATAGATTTACATCGGCCTACCGAAAATTAACGATTCCATACCGAGAATACAACATTTTCCCGCTATACTGATCGAAACGCGGGAAAATATTAGTATTATCTATACTACAGACGACAGACACACAAATGACACCCTTTTCTGCCACTGACAGCACACCAACAACAACTTTTTGTACGCATGGCAGAAAAATAAAACTCAAACGCAAATTCAAATTTGCCGACAGCCCGTCGTACGTGATAGAAAATCAAAGAAAAGAGTAATCTATAGGCCTAATACCTTAGATATCTTCAAACGTTTCTCAGTGGAATCTACTATGTAACCGTCTTTACTGGAGTCAGACCTCCATCTGCCGTGCTTCTTTAAGCATCTGTCACTAACATCAGCGTTAGCCGCCATCGTGGCCCCACCGGATCTGAATGAATGAAGACCTATGTTTCCGTCTGGACAAATTGTCCGGATTCTCTTAAGAATTGACTTTCAGCCGCCGTGTAACTTAGTTTTTTATCTTTTGTTATGAGCTTGCATGTATTACGAGATCTATAAATAGGCCGAAACAAATAAAAGTTTTGCTGACCAGAATCGCCAAAACCTGCTAACCTAGTGTACCTTATAAACATTGTGTAAGGACAAGCAGATGAAATACCCCTAGAAATCAGGACTTCAGAACTTTGTCTATATTGGTCGGTTTTACTTTTTTGAATGCACAAAATTAAATGAGACTCGTGTACTTTAACATCACAAAAACGTAAGGAACTGACCTCATCATATCTGAGAAATCCTGAAAAACTCAAAATCATCATTGCCAAATCCCTTATAACAAGTAAATCTGAAGAATCTTTAAACATGTCAAAAAGTTCAATTAAAGTTTCAGGAGTAATTGGATCTTTCTTTTCTGTCTTTTTTGATGCTACTCTTTTAGAAGCTTCAAGAATCGATGTTACGAAAGTGTTTGTTGTAGGATCGTTTAGACCATTTATCTCATGTGCCCATTTAATACCATATACTGCGTTAGAAACAGGGTGACAAGTTGAATTATTGTTCAATAAATGTGTTAAATACAGTGCAACATGAACTGGCTGAGCTGGCAAAGATTTGTGACCTTGCAAAGTAATGAAACGTTCCCACCGTTTATATGAATTAAAATATGATTTAACGGTATTGTCACTTTTAGAGTTGATCAACAGTTCGAACATCTTCGGATAAAGCTCTTACATATAACTGCCAACTTCTATCCCACTGTCCTGGACGGTCTCCTCCACTGTACGGTCTAATTTAACCCCTGTCAAAATAAATAACGTCATAAGTATATTGAAAACTAAAATTCTATTCTCATAGCAATTAATCTAAATTTTAAGCGCTGTTGTCCAAATACTCCGCACTGACCTCTGCCTCTTTTAGTCAGATTTTCCCCTTGAAAAAACTTGCTATCAACTATGAAATCCTTAAAATTTCCAAGCCGATCCACCAACATGGGCCAAAATGGTGCCGATGTCCATTCCGGGATGACTAAAGTGCCATTACATTTTTTATACTAATCTTATTTATTACCTTTGGAATCAAACTTGGTGGTGGAACTACCCAATTATTATGTCCACCCCATTCTACTGTAAACGAGTCTATCCCAGCAGTCCCGGGGCACCAAAACCCTTTAATTAAATTGCTTGCACTTGGCATTGTAATCATGCGCAAACCTATCTATATCATGTGGACCCCAAACATGTTTAAGGTACAGAAAAACCTCATCTTGTATTTCCCAGTCATCACAATCTGTTGCCCTACTTAAAGTATCTGCATACTGGTTTGTTTCTCGTGGTATCCAAACCAAGTCAACTTAATTGCAGAGTTCATCAACGAACAAAGCGATTTTGTGCAAAACCATCTTCCTGCTACCAATATTAAGTATATGTGTGATATTCAGGTTATCTGTGAACACTCTGATAATCTTACCAGTGAGAATATTGACAAAATTTATCAATATTCATTTTACAGCCTCGAGCACTCTCCAGGTCGAACTTTCGGACTGTTCCGTCAACGACCAACTACCAAACATTTCCAAAGGTTCGTCCTCTGAACCAGTACCAGATGCATCGCTGAACACATAATAATCTTGTTTTTCATTATAAGACAACTGATTTAACCGAGATCCTATCTCGTTAAAGCTTTTAGCTTTATGTTCCCAAAAAATGCATTCCTTCAATGCGTCCGTACTAACTAGTACTTGGGCGTTCCAACTTGCCCTTTGTAATATACATTGATACAAATACCTTGTTCTTAAACGTGCCTGATCTCCTAATACAGGCTGCATTGATATGATCTGTCCTACAATACTTGCAATGAATTTCACCCGGAAAAGCCTAATCCCGTAGTGAAATTGTGTCCGGAAACTTCTAAAATTTTTAAAAGCTTTTCTATTCTTTTTTCGCTAATTCTTATAACCCCTTCTGTCATATCCCAATGAAAACCCAACCATTCTAAACTTTGAATAGGGGCCCAATTGCACCTCTCTGTTGCAAGAACAAAACCAAATTTCTCCAAATCAGAGTGAATTTTTTCGCTCGCTAACATAGCCTCTTTCATGTTTTTGCCCCCGCCGAGGCCATCGTCTAGATACATGACGATTTTTAAACCTGTACTTCTCCAATATTTGATAACCTCCCTGACTACCTTTGTAAAAATATATCCGCTAGTTGACAACCCTAAAGGCAAAACATTATACACATAATATTCATGCTCCCATTTGAAACCTAAATATGTAGTGTCTGCTTCAAAAATACTAATGTGATGGTATGCGCTTTTTAAATCGTAAGAGAATACAAAATCTCCTTTATCGTATAGTAGTCTAGCAGTTTTTGCATCTTCGTATTTGTGTTTAAATTTAACGACATGTGGATTGATATGTCTTGCATCTAATACTAATCTGAGTTTTGAACCTCTATTATGAGCTACAGTTAGAGGATTAACTACATATGGCTTAAGAGACACTCGAGTAATACATCCTTTTTCCAGCAGTTTTTCAATCTCGCTCTTTACAAAATCGGGATTGTCTCGTGCCGATTTGTTATTTTGTAATTCAACCATGCATGGAATGGTACTGAAAGGAATTTTATACCCTTTTGCTATAATGTCTATTACAAAATCCGTGGCACCTATTTTCTTCCATTCGCTTAAGCTCTCTTTTAAATGACCTACACCTGTACCGTTATTTTTTACTATAGTAGTAGTATGTGTATTGCTCATTGACTGGACATCACGTGATGTCTGTGTTATTGAATTTACATTACTCATTGAATAGAGTTCACCCGATGCTAGATCGGTCTCTGGGTGTGTATTCAGTTTTACGTTATCGATTTTACATATAGTAGTATCAATACTTATCTTGTGTTTTTGCTCTGCAGCAGACTTTGGACAATTCCTAATCCAGTGCCCGTACTCATTACAATGAAAGCATCTACCGGGTCGTACATCAGACCTGGATCCACCACTAACGTTCACCGGGATCGAATTTGCTGCTTTTGCTGGGGCCTGTTGTGTGTATGGCACGCTCTTGCGGTCTGGGCGTCTTTAACTTTTCCTTCTTCAGCTTGCTTTCTGCTCTATTTTGCGCTTTATACATCTTCTTTTCGTCCTCTGAATCTTCTGCGAGTGGGTTAGTTACGTATTCATCTACCACGCGCCATCCCGCGTCTGATGAATCGGCAAGTTTTATCAGCTTTTGTCGATTTTTAATCAAGTCCATACCTTCAGAAATTTTTCTCTTGGCACTGTTAATGTTTGACTGCGTCAAGT